CGCCGCGGCCCCGGGCGGCGGCTGCGCTCGCCTCGCCACGAGCCGGGAAGGCGAGATATAATAAAAAAAAACTAAAAAAAAAATCACAAAAAAAACCCAAAACAAAACACAACCAAAACAAACAAAAAAAAACACCAAAAAACAAAAAAACCCAAACAAACAAACAAACAAACAAAAAAAACACAAAACCAAAAAAAACCCCAAAACAAAACAAAAATCCCCAACCAACCAACCAACCAACCAACCAAAAATCAATCTATCTATCTATCTATCTATCTATCTATCTATCTATCTATCTATCTTTGGGGTTTTTTTCAATTAAAAAAAATAAAAGTCGTTCGTGCCCGCAGGGCTCCCGGCACCGAACCGCTCCGCAGCCCTTGAACACTGAGCGCTGAGTCACGGAACGCTGGGGAACGCTGGCGGGGGAAATGCCCTCAAAGAATCATCCCCCGGCATTGTCAAGGCCACCGCTAAGCGATGTCCCACATGCACAAGGTTTTTAAAACCCTCCAGGGATGAGGATCTACTGCCCTCGGCAGCCTGGGACATTGGATGTTACAACATCCTGCTACAAGGCGGTGTTAAGAACATAAAAAGTTCTAATTCCTTGGGACTGGGTTTGTTTTCAGCCACCGGAGTATTCCACAACACACAAGATGAGCCAAGAGTTTGGGTTTTAATGCCAGGGCTAAACAGGCCATTCAGGAAAAAAAATTCCCAACATTTCCCATATACGACCTAAACCTCCCCTGGCACAATGTCAGTGACAAAGCAGCAGGGACAGTGTGTGTGACAGCACCAACATGAGCTGGACTGTACCTCAGCTTCCTCCTGGGCGAGACAAGACACTTCAGCAGAGGTTCGTGCCCACGTTTGGGGGCAGTGAAATATTCCTGAAGGGCTGCCAGGGCATCGAGCACGTGGCTGGTTCTGCTCCATCAAGACAGTGCCCAGCATAACCCGGGCTGTGGGGAAGCAAGGCCTGGGGGCAACCACAGAACGCTGGGCCTGGGTCACCCCTGCTTCTGTGATGTCATTATGGGGCACAGTCCAGAACCAGCAAGGGGGTTCAGTGCTGGATGTTTGGGGACAACACCAGAGTGCTCCACACACCTCAGCAAGGTCCACTGCCTCTGGCTCCAACCTGCGGGATAGCTTGGCACCTACCAAATATTCATCCTCCACCATGGAGAGGAAGATGAGCGATAGGAGTTGCAGCATCTCCAATGAACTCCGCCTGGAAGGGAGATTCTGTGATGTGATCATCAGTGTGGATGGGGTGGAATTCAAGGCTCACAAGCTCATCCTCTCTTGCTGCAGTATCTACTTCAGGTCAGTCCTGGAAGCACAAGGGGATGGGGACAAACACTATGCCCTGACTGAGGTCACCCCACCTCAGCACTTCTCCAGGACTTCCACCTGCCCTGAACCCCTCTCCAAGTGATTTCTCACAGTCCTCACACCTCCCTGAACACCAGGATCAATCCACATATCAGTGGCTCTTGGCAGTGGTGTCGGAGGCGCCCCAGACCCAGTGCAGGGCTGGAGCCTGGCCAGCCTGGCCCAGCTTTGCCTCCCTCACACCCTGTGACTCTCTGGGGTCCAAGACCAAGTGCTGGTGCTGCACCTGGGTTGGGGAAACCCTGTCCCAGTGTCAATTTGGGATGGGGGATGAATGGATTGAGAGCAGGCCTGGGGAAAAGGACTTGGGGTGCTGGTGGGTGAGAGGCTGAACATGCCCTGGCTGTGTGCACTGAAACCCCCCATTGTCCTGGGCTCATCCCCACAGCGTGGGCAGCAGGCAGTGGGGGGATTCTGCCCCTCTGCTCCTCTCAGGTGAAAGCCCCTGCCCTGCTGCCTCCAGCTCTGGTATGCTCCAGAGGCTGTGTCTCCTTTTTCAAACAACCAGCAAGTAAATCTTTAATCAATAAACCATGGGGCCCTTCCAGACTGGCTCCTACCAGGGCCAAAATTGGTGCCCTGGAGGCAGGGGGAGCACAGGGGATGCAGGAGCAGGGTTTAACACAGCAACACCATGTTTTCAGGACTCTGTTTACCAACTGGGACAGCGCAGACAAGATGGTCTATCAAATCCCTGGCATTTCAGCTGAAATGATGGGTCTCATCATCAACTACGCCTACACTGGGACAGTACCGATCACAGAGGACAATGTTGAGAGTTTGCTAGCTGCAGCAGATCAGTTCAATGTCATGGGCATCGTCAGCCTGTGCTGTGAGTTCCTCAGTTCCAGGCTGTGCTTTGAGAATTGCATTGGCATTTGCAGACTCACTGACTATTACCACTGCCCCGACCTGCGCGCTGCTGCCTGCGTGTACATCCTGCACCACTTCGAGGAGGTGTCCCAGGTGTCCGAGGAGTTCCTAGACCTCTCTGCCGAGGAGCTGGCACACATCATTGAGAAGGATGAGCTCAACGTGCGGCGAGAAGAAGCCGTGTTTGAGGCTGTGCTGAGGTGGATCGCTCATGACCCGCAGAACAGGAGGCAGCACATCGCCTGCTTGCTCAGCAAGGTGGGTGCAGCGCAGCTTTGGAGCTGTCCCCAAAGGCTACCGAGGGGGAAACCATCACTGTCAGTGCTCCAACCTCCTCCTTGCGTGTTTCAGGTTCGACTGGCACTCCTACAATCCGACTACTTCATGAACAACGTCAAAGCTCACGAGTACGTGAAAGACAATGCCAACTGCAAAGATCTCATCATCAGTGCCCTGAGCGAAATCTACGACCTGAACTCCTACGGCCAGAGTTCCTCAGTCAACGCCAACCCGCTCACCCGGCCACGCCTGCCCTATGCCATCCTCTTTGCCATCGGGGGCTGGAGCGGGGGCGGCGCCACCAGCGCCATCGAGACCTACGACGGCCGCACTGACAAGTGGCTGAACATCCCCTGGGAGCAGGAGAGCCCCGTTGCCTACCATGGCTCGGCTTATTTGAAAGGCCACGTCTACGTTATCGGTGGATTCGATGGCACAGATTATTTCAACATCGTCAAAAGGTTTGATCCCCTCCAGAAGACATGGCAGCAGGTAGCGCCCATGCACTCACGGCGCTGCTACGTCAGCGTCACCGTTGTGGACAACTTCATCTATGCCATGGGAGGGTTTGATGGGTACATGAGGCTCAACACAGCAGAGCGGTATGACCCAGACACCAACCAGTGGACCCTGATCACCCCCATGCACGAGCAGAGGAGCGACGCCAGTGCAACCACGCTGAATGGAAAGGTAAACTAACCCCAGCTAAGAGAAGGTGGGGTCGTAGCATGAAGAAAGTTCACATAAACCTTCACTAAATTTGTAATACTTAAATTCATAACAGTTCACTAAATCCTGGAGCTACAGATATAAAGCAGCCTACCTGGTGTGGCAGTGACCAGGGGTACAAAAACTCTTGCAGAGCTGCTGCCAACCTGGTGCCCAACAGCCCTTTTCCTGGCCATAGGTGCAATACCAGGCCTGTCTGCTTCATGCAGCTTGGAAAATCAAGAGTAGAATTTTTTCTGGCATCAACTCTTTGCACTGCTGCTACTTTGAATCCAAGATGACCATTCCCACTCTAAAACACAACACCCCAAAAATCCTGCTTCACCATTCATTTCCTCTTCGACACCACCAAGGGTCTAACCACACCATTCACACCTCTCCTGTCCCCAGGTGTACATCTGTGGTGGGTTTGATGGTGATCAGTGCCTCAGCTCAGCTGAAGTGTTCAACCCCACCACAAACCAGTGGTCCCTGATCGCCCCAATGAGCAGCAGGAGGAGCGGAGTGGGGGTGATGGCCTACGGGAACCAGGTGTACGCGGTAAGGGCCAACACCACCCAGCACTGCACTCCTGGGGGTGCCTGCAGCTCCCAGACCTCCAGGGTGGCCATGTGGTTGTGTGAGGTTTAGGGAAGCCAGAGCCAGAATGGTTGATGCACTTCCTGAGGGCGTTATCACCCATCACACATTTTTGGGTACAAAAAGGGTGTTTGGCAGTGTTTAAGCAGCTGCAGCAAAGAACGTAATTTCTGCTGGTGCCAACAGCACCAGCAGCACGGAGCAGGGACTTGGGCCTGCTCATCCAGTTTATCCTCTCCATGAACTGCATCCAGCCTCTGGAGAAATGTCAAATTGACAGTTGCATAAAGTGCTTTGGAAAGCTCCTCAGAGAGCAGGGAGCAATAAGCAAGAGCCATGTTGGGAGATCTTGTGCTGCCACGCTCAGACTGCAGCCAGGGAGGCAGGAGCAGCTCCCACCTCACTCTGCCTGCCAGCACCTGCCTGAGGAACACCTTTCCAAGCTCTGTCCCTTTGGCATTCACAGGTCGGAGGGTTTGATGGGAACAGCCGGCTGCAGAGCGTGGAAGCCTACAACCCCATCGCCAACGCCTGGCACGCCGTGCCCTCCATGCTAAACCCACGCAGCAACTTTGGCATCGAGGTGATGGACGGCCTCTTGTTCGTGGTGGGGGGCTTCAATGGGTTCAGCACCACCGTTGCCACCGAGTGCTACGAGGAGGACACCAACGAGTGGTATGATGCCCACAGCATGGGCATCACCCGCAGCGCCGTCAGCTGCTGCGTGGTGCCAGGACTCTCCAACGTCATGGAATACATCGCCAGGCAACACTACTACCAGCACAGCTCCTCCATGGACATCTTGTTCACCAGCTCAACTCGGAGCTCGCCGTTGTAAATAGTTCCCCTTAGCTAGGAGTGTTGTGATCAGCCATCACTGGATGCTTGTGTAAATAGTTCTGCGTATCTAATAAAGTCTTCTGAGCATCCCATCACTGGATGCCTGGGTAAATCGTCCTCTTTGGGTAATAAAGTCCCCGTGGCAGCAAGGGAGAATGTTCTCTTGTTCTAAAATAGAAATAATTGTAACAGGCCAAAAGGATCATTGGGATTTCAGATTTTCACTCAACAGCACTACCCAATGTATCAGCCACACCCTATACATCAACTTAAAAAAAATCAAAAGCACAACAGAATGCTAGAGAAATAAAAGGTTTATTTTCATTAATTCACCTCTTACAATAAACTTTAGTACAGTGTATTTAAGGTCAAGAACAGGACAGCAGGGTCTGTTTCAAAGGGCCTATGACACACACTACTTTACCTCACAGGTAAGGACAGGAGTGCTGCTCCCCAGGAAACTGCTGTCCCTCTGTTAATGACAGGAGAGCAGAGCTGCTGCAACCCACAGTGACATGGACCCACGAGGAGAATCTGACTATTAATGGTCATCAAACAGCTCATTAGTTCCACACTCTACATTCATATTAGTAACAGGGTTAGATCCTCAAGAGCACCTTTTTTATCAGATTTCATCCAGGACTATGAAATGGGAGATTGGATTTGTAGCCCAACCTAAGGTGGACAAATAAAAGAGCTGAAAATAAATCCAAGCCACAGACCACCTTCTTTACACTTGCTTTTCAAAGCCCACTGGATGTTACAACATCCTGTTACAAGGCTGTATTAAGAACATAAAAAGTTCTAATTCCTTGGGACTGGGTTTGTTTTCAGCCACCAGAGTATTTCACAACACACAAGATGATCCAAGAGTTTGGATTTTAACATTTACTGTAATGGAGAAAAATGTCATTGCAATAGTCAGGCAGAATGCTGGGTACAGCTGTTCACAGCACATGTAACATCAGGCTGTTTGCTTCATCTCTGGAATGGACTCCCACTATGTGCAGGGGAGTCATTAAAAACACAACCCCTGGCTACTAATGGAGTATCCAGGTAGTTATAAAATATTATGTACACACATGGCCCCTGGGAGTTACTGATCACCAGCACCTGGCAGGTGCCACTGGTACTGTGAGCAGAAAGCCAGGACGTGACACGTGTTTGGTGGCAGGAATCAGGACAGGTGTAGAGGTGTGATTGTCCTGAGGAGGAGGAAAACTGCCCCCAAGGTTCTTTTCCCTCAGTGAGGCACCAGCCAGCCTTCTCACCCTTACTGAACACACACTGGGATCCTGCTGGCAGCTGACCAGCCTCCAGAAACACACGGGAGGCATTCCCAGGCTTTTGTTTATGGGATCATTTGATAAACACCCAGCAAGATATGGTGGTCAAGGGCACAAGGAAACTGTTATGGATTCACAGGCTTGTGGGCTAAACTGCAGCCAGAGCCACGAATGCAATTCTCCCAACACCTCATGTGATGCAATGGATTATTTGACCTAAGTCACAAACCACATCTGTGCCACTGCTCCTCTGGGATTCAAGGCTAAAAAACCCCAACTGCTTTAAACTATCCCTGGAGTGGCAGAGCAAACACTGAGAACAGCCTGAGCTGCTGCCAGGCCCCACCCCAAGCACATGGAGGGACAGCAGGCACACACAGCATGCGGCTGGCACACACGGGTTACCTGTGCAGGGATGGGCTCAATCTGGCTCTGAGGGGAGTGCTTTGAGTAAATGCCACAGCTTGTCCATCAGCCCAAAGTCCTCCTGGGAATTGCAATATCAATTTTTGCTTAGAAAAAGCAAAAAGCAAGACTGCAAGGTTTGTTCTTGCCTCTTTGTTGCACAGTGCCATGCATTAAATATTCAGCTCCCGTTCCAACTGAAAGAACCATCTTGGTGTTTCTCCCTACAAATTGTCTGTATTTGATGACAGACTACAAGAGAGCTTGGAGAGAGCTGTGGTGGTGACCAGCCACTGTCCAACTGCCTGTTAAATCCTGCCAGCTGGTTCTGCAGGGTGGAGGACGTGAACTCCTCTCCATTGCTTTGGTGCAAAGTCTGGGAAAGCATCTTAAAATCAGCTCCCACAAACTGCTGTTACATTGATGGATTCAGCACCAGAGGCATTTGCACTTTATCAAAAACTGCTGCAGGAGCAGCAATTATGCACCTACTCCAGCCAGACCTGCAAGAGTCCAGGAGCAAGACTCCATGGATCAACCCCCAGCTTACAAGCCTGCAGCAGCTCTCTGGGAACAGTCAAACCTGCAAACATCACCTTCAACTCACCTATTTCCTCTTGCATGAAGCCAGTAGCATAGACTTCACCTGCCCCAACAACCAAACAGGCAAAGAAAATAAAACATGGTTACCACAGAGGAGTAAACCAAGAAAAACTGTTCAGAATTTCAATTTTGGTAGTTTTTTTTTTTAACTAAGGCTGGAGACTCTCTCACAAACAGACAAATTGCTGATATCAAAGTGGCCCACGAACCACAGAGTGGAGCATTAAGGGATGTACACATCAGAGAAACCTTTACACACTGAGTGGTGGAAAGACTTACCCCAAGTTTCAGATATGATCTGGGCTGCCTGTTGAACTGGAAAAGGAGAAGGAGCAGCTCAGGAAGCAGAACAATTAAGACCAAAACAAATCCCAAATTGGTTAGAAGTTCTTTGCAAAGAACTCACCCACAGCAAAACCACCAGCAAATCATCAACGAACCAAGAACAGTAACAGATTTTCCAGAAAGGTTTGTCTACACAAATTTTGTAATACCCAGGTTACTCCTCCCATTCCCTTCCCTAAGATCCTGAGTTAAGACTGCATGGAAAAACCTGGAACATTCAAAAGAAGGGAAGGATGGGGAGAAAAGGAGGTAGGAAGTATGCACTGAAACTGTTGGTAAATGAAAGGGTCCTGGAGCTTCTTGGACTGGGGAGAAGGAGTGTTCAGTGGGACAGAGAGGCAGGGATGCTCCAAAGGGACTATCCCACATTTTGTTTCCTGGGAGTGCAGCAGGAAGCATCCAGAGCCAACCAGGGCACTTGCATGTACAGCCACCTCAAAATGCCAAAAGGTGTTTAAAGGAGCTTCAATCTCAGCCTCACAGCAAGTGGGGAAATTCAGCTACCTGGAGACTCTGAAAGGCCAGCTCTCCCCCTGCAGAGCACACTGCCAGCTTGGAACAGAGCTGCAGCACAGCTGCTGGGAGTCCCCTGGGACAGCACAGGAGGGCAAAGGCTTCTGATTGTCAGAGAGAGGCTGGAACAGCAGGGGCTCTTTCATCACTTTTCACTAGAACTAAAACGTGCAACATTTGAGAAAAGACCTACGAGTAGCTCAGGTTTCACTACATTCCCATGAAATAATCCCACCCTCACTGATCCACTCTGACAGAACTGAACAGCCAGTGTGGGTGGGTGGCTCATGGCCAGGTGTCACTCCTTTGCTCAGACTGCTGACCCAAATTCTTGAGTCACAGACAGACTCAAACCTGCAAATATACCTGAAAAAAAAAAATAAATCCACTGCCTCAAGCTCTCTTTTAGCAAGTGTCTTGTGTCCAACCAATCATCCATTTATAAACAAACTCTGCAGCCTCTCTACAACACAAATACAAAATATTTAATACACATAGAAACATCCTGAAGTAATTTCATAAAGAAAGATTGTGCTTTTGTTTCATGCAGAACTATTGCACTTGCCTCCAGCTTGGGAAAGCCAAGTACACCAACACCAATCCTGTGAAGTTTAGTCACTGAGGAGAGAATCAAAGGAATGTCAAGAGATAAGTGCAAATGAAACAGGTGCTTTCAAGCACACACAAATGTAACCACTAAATTATTAAGAGAGAGATCTTTGATTTTCCAAGCAGAACTGTTAGAGACTAACTCTACAGAAATCCTTGGAACCAAAGATCTGAGGAAAGAAATAACAGGCTTAATGCTCCCAGAGACATTTCACAGCCCGATACAGGCTACAGCTTCTCCCTGGGTATCATTAAGGAATACTGCTGGATTCATGGAGTGTCTCAATTCCCACCCACCCTCAACTTCTGAGCTTCTGAATTTTCAGTACACAACAGATGCTGGTTTGATGCATCAAATCAAATCCACACCCTCATGTCTTATAAAGACACATCAAGCCTAACAAATGGGTTTATTTCCTAGGCTCATCAGGAGTGATGTGCAGACACTAGCACTCGATCTGGGAGCGCGGCATCCTCCGTAAGCTCAGGGAGTATCGGTGGATCTCCTGCATCTGCCTTTCCTGCATCTGCCTTATTCTATCTTTTTGCCACATGAGATTTTGTGGCATGGGGTACCTCTGTGTTCCCTGCAGGCACCTGAAGGGGATTCTCACGTGGCAGGCAGTGGCTCTGCAGCGGGGCTGTGGCATTGGGGGCAGGAGCATCCAGCGCTTCCGCTCGGCGCAGTAGCGATAGGCCTCCTTCCTGTACTGCTTGTCAATGTCATCGCTGTTCTTCCACCCCCCAATGATGAACACGTCATCCTTGTAGTAACAAATAGCTGCTCCTTCAATGCTCAGGACCTCGGGGGGCAAGGATTCCAGGATTTCATCCGAGGCCCTGCTGCAGATCTTCCCCTTGGCCTCCTCGTTGTCTATGGGGTAACTCTTGGGGCAGCAGGATGCTGTGTGGTAGAAGTTGGTGCTGGCAACAGACATCTGGAAAGAGCAGTAGTTGTCGATGAGGGGCAGGGACTCCACGTCCTGCCACTGCCTGGTTTCAGCATCATATCTGATAATAACAGCCCTGAGCCCGTCCTCGCTGTCGCTGTCCACCGGGGTGCGGGCGGCCACGTACACGTAGCGGTCCTCCACGGAGACAGCTTTGACATCCCGCAGGATCTTCGGCGCCGACTCCAGGTTCAGCCATTTGTCCTGCTCAGGGTTATAAATGGCCACATCTTTAAAGCCTGGACTGAAATTGCCGTGCCCACCAATACTGTACAAGTTGCCTTTCACTTCAGTAAGGCCAAAGGAATGCTTCCTGGTGATGAGGTTTGAAACCTGCTCCCAGATGTTTCTGTTTGGGTTGTACCTCTCCACAGTCTTGGCAAAGCCCGGTTCCATGGAGCCAGCCACGTACACGTAGGACTCCGTCACGGCCACGGCGTGCCCGTCCAGGTGGTTGTGGATGTGAGGCAGGTTGACCCACCTGTCCTCGTCGATGAAGTAGCCCACGCACTCGCTCAGGTAGTCGCCGCCCTCGGACACGCCGCCGATGACCATGATGACGTCCATGTTCTGGCCGAAGCGCGGCAGCAGCGCGGCGGGGCAGGCCGGGTGCTGCAGGTTCCCGGCCTGCAGGTTCTCAGAGCGCAGGGCATGGCTCTCCACGGCCTCGGACACCAGCTTCACGCAGGCCTCGCTGCTCGACACCAGCCGCTCGGACTTGACGTGGCGAGTCAGGTACGTGGGTTTCATCTGAGACAATCGTAGCAGCTTAAAGAGGTCTTCAAAGTACCTCTCTCTTTCCTCAGGATTTTTCTGAACCCACTTCAAAACAGTTTCAAAGAGGATTTCTTCAGAGTCCACCGTGATCTCCGAGTCTGAGAGCCAGTCCCGGACAAGGTGAAACGGCAAAGTGTAGAACTCCTCATCTTGGATGACTTTGTGGAAGTTTCTCCTGATCATATCCTGCGCTTTGAGGGCCAGCTGATTCAGGGAATACATGTGGGCCAAGCTGTGAACCGCCACACAGTTGGAGAGGTTCAGCTTCTTCTTCAGAAACTCTCCACAGAAGTCCTTTAACCGGGTCAGCAGAAACCTGCAGGACAAACAAGGGAGTTTTACATCCCTGGAGGTGTTCCAGGCTAGGATGGACGGGGCTTGGAGCAACCTGGGACAGTGGAACGCGATGAATTCTACGGTCCCTTCCAACCCAAACCAGTCTGTGATCCTCTTACGCTGTGGCCCGGTCCCCGCCAGCCCCCGCCAGGGCCGCACTTACCTGTCCGCCATCTCCAGCACCTCATGGACGTTGCCGGGGCTCACGCGGATGGTGCCGGTGTACATGAAACCGATAACGGCCTCCACCGTGTCGGGGTCGGGGCCGCCCTCCGAGCTCCACTTCTGCAGCTCCACGCGACCCGAGCGCGACTCCGCGAACCCTCCCGAGAGCAGCGGCGTGAAGTATTCGGTGGCGGCGGCCAGGACGGACCGGTGCGCCCGGTACTCGCGGGCCATGCCCGCGCCGCCGAAAGCCAGCGTGATGTCGCAGTACAGGCCGTGGCGGCGCTGCTCGTTCTGCCGCCAGGCCAGGTCGGAGCAGTGCGCCGGGCACCCGAACTCCTCCGCCTCAGCCTCACCGTCCGCCGCGCTGCCGCGCGGGGCCCCGCGCTCCGCCTCGGCCGCCGGCGGGCCAGGAGGCGCGGCGCTGCCGCCTGGCGGAGAGAGCGCGCCGCTGCAGGGCAATGGCGGCGGCGCCGTGAGGGGAGCCGCGGCCAGCGCAGCGCCCGGGAGCCGCCGAGGCACCGCGGCTCCCCTCGGCGCGGCACCCCACGAGAGCCCGCCTCCCCTTGACTCGGGACCCCCATGCATACCCATCCACTCAGCCCGGGAGCCGCTGGGGCCGCCCGGACCCTTCGGGACTTTCCCGTATCCCCCGTCCCCTCAGGCCGGGACACCCATGCATCACCTCAGCCTGGAGCCCCGGGGACACCGCATCCCCTCACTCCGGACCCCTCGGGACCTCCCCGTATCCCCCGTCCCCTCACATCGGGACCTCCTGGATCTCCATGCCTTCAGCCCGGAGCCACCAGGACGCCCCCGGATCTCCATCCCCTCAGCCCGGAGCCCCGGGATCCCGCGTCCCCTCACACCGGACCCCTCCGGACTTTCCCGTATCCCCGGTTCCCTCAGGCCGGGACCCCTTCGGATCTCCATACCCTCAGTCCAGAGCCCCTGGGACCCCCCCGGATCCCCATTCCCACAGCCTGCAGCCCCCGGGACACCACGTCCCCTCACCCCAGACCCCTCAGGGCTTCCCTGTATCCCCCGTCCCCTGAGACCGGGACCCCCCGGATACCCTGTTCCCTCAGCCCGGAGCCACCGGGACGCCCCCGGACCCCCATCCCCACAGCTTAAAGCCCCCGTGACACCGCGTCCCCTCACCCCGGACCCCTCGGGACTTCCCCGTATCCCTGGTTCCCTCAGGCCGGGATCCCCCGGCTCTCCATGCCCTCACCCCGGACCCCTCGGGTCCCCCCGGCTCTCCATTGTGGGGGGCCCCGGTGGTCTCGATGACACCGACCAGAGCCAGGCCCTTTCCACTCAGAGTCTCAGGCAATCCTCATCATTTTCTTCTTCCCCACGCCCTCCCTGCACCTGGGCAATTAGTAATTCTCGCACTCCATGGTACATTGGGTTTTTAATTACAACACAATGAGGTGTATAGGTGGTTATTTCATGTTTGCTATACACACAGTGCAGTTCTCTAACTCTTGTATAATGCTATCATATCTAGCTTGTGTCCTTGTTTATTCTCAACTCCTTTTTTATCTTTTTGACCTACTCTGAAACAGGCAAGCTGAAACCTATATGTAGTTTTTAATCACCTGAAACAGACCCTGAGGAGTAATTGCTTTGAAGGTTATTTTGTTAAATGACAACTTGTCACACATCCCTTAGACACTGTTCAGGGACAACTCACAGAAGTCACAAATGGAAAAAGAATAAATTAGTAATGTGTATTTATTTGCGTTTGGTTACAGTACACAGACAAGGAGGACACTGAAATTATTACTGAGATATTTTTGCAGCTGCAGATTACATGAGTGACAGTGCACAGAGCAGCAGTCAGAGGAAAGGAGAGGTTTGCATAAATACAGACACTGGAGTACAGGGATTTCACAGTTTTCACAGCAGTATGTTACAACTTTACACTTTAAATTACTACACCAGCTTGAGTAACATTGGTTATACTTTAGCACTGGTCCCAGGATTCAGGTACAGTCAGATCAAGGATAAGACCATGGTAAACAAATTGAAAAACAAGAGACGACAAAAAAAAAATCCAAAGTGATGGCTTATGGGAATGACAGGCACGTTCCCCTCATGGGAAAGGTACAGCTTGTTACCAGAATTCAGTAAGGCATACCTATGAGCCAAACTCTACCCCCCAAACCCTAAATCACTTCTGGAAACAAAAATGAAATGAGAATAGAAAAAAAAAAATAAAAGTGTGAGAGACGGTATTAAATACAGCAGGTAACAGAGGGAATAGCACAAGTTTTGGTTTTATTAGAGTAAGTTTCTATCCTTATAAAACAGTCGCTTTGCACAGTTTGACCAGGCAGCTCGACACCTCTGTCCCAATAATCATCTTTATACATGACAGTCCCACTGTGGCTGTCCCCTGGCCAGGCTTCTGTCCTGGAGCACTCCAAGGCAACAGCAGCTCCTCACATGGTCATGTGCTCGGGCAGGACGTAGGAGATGTCATCCCAGGGGTGACGGTACAGACCCTGCTTCAATCTCTTCTGGTCCAGGTAGTGTCCTGAAAGGACAGTGGTGTGTGTTACAAATTCCCATCCCTTTTAGTCTCTGCCTTGAGCTGGATTTCTGAATCCCGCTGGGTTTCAGGTTTGTCTGGTGCTCCTGAGGCAGGGCAGCCCCAGGAGGAGCGAAGGGGCAGGGAGGACAAGGCAAACTCACCAATGAATCCCATACTCCTGCCCAGTACAAAGATGCCATTGAGAGCTCCTATATCAATATATTCATCTGCTTCTTCCCTGCAAAACAGAGGAAAATAAATGGCTCCTGGTAATCAATCTCAGATGGGCTGCCACCTGCTCTAGTGTCAGAAGCCACACAAATTCCTCTGGCAGCTTTCTGCCCCCAAAAGCCAAGCCAGGCTGTTTCCTTCCCATGTCATGGAATTCTGCCCCTCAGGAGCTGGCAGTGCAGCTTCACAGGACCATGATCCAGGAACAGCTTCCCCTCACTCACCGTGTGAAGGAGCCACAATTCCTGAGCACGTCAACAAAGGCCACTCCAATGAAGCCATCTACGTTCAGGATAAGGTTTGGTTTCTGCAGGAAATAAAAACACCCCAACAAATATGTCAACAGTGCAAATGGTGTTCACATGGCACCTTCCACTGCTGATTTGAGGCTGCCTGTAGCTGGGGACACACCAGCCCAGCAGCCTGAGCAAGGGCTACACTCAATGGGAATGCTGGAAAATCAACCCAAAACAAGGGGTCCCATGGCTCAGCCCCCAGAGGTTCCCTGCCAAGGGCCAGCACATGTGCCAACAGCCTGGGATTTACACCCAGCAGTGCCAGTGTGGACAGTGGCCACACAGAGGATGGTTTGGCTTGTTCAGCATTTCCTGGTAGCCAAATGCCTTCAGCCTTCCCAAACTGCAGCTGTACTTGGCTTCAACTCCACCCCAGACACAATCCCCAGCAACAATTTTAAAGCACTGAGCTGAAAATACAGCTAAGGCCCAGTCACTTTCCCTGCCATGAGAAGCAGTGCCCAGAGCAGTTCAGAGCTGGCACCCCTCACCTTGGAAGTTGTGATTTTTTCTACTTCAAGCGCGTAGTCCAGCAGCGGAGTGGCTGGGAAGTGCTGCTTCACGTAGTCCTTGAGAATCTGAACTCTCATGTCAGGGTTGTTTATCTGCAAGTTCAGAGCACATTACAGTCAGTGATGTTGCCTCCTACTGATACTCTTTGTAGATTTGGGAGAATTTGGTCAATTCTGAAACTTGCTGATTTTCTTCCCTTTGTTTTTGCTCTTCCCCCACCCATCCCTAAAAATCCCTCCAGTCTGTCCTAAAGCAGTTTTCTTACTGATTTCACTCGGTGTCCAATGCCCATGATCAGCTTCCCTTCTTTCTTCATCTTATTCACAAATTCCATGGGGATAATCCCACTGTCAAAAGCTTTGCTGAACATTTTGGCTGCAGCATCAAGTGCTCCCCCAAACCGGTCACCCTGGGTGCAGAACAAAGGCAATTACATCAAAGGACTCGACAATTTAGATACAAACCCAAGATTATCTCCCCCATCCACCCTCCTGGTCTCTGGCATTCATGACATTAGAGTTGGGCAAGCACCTGAGAGAAAGCATTTGCTTATCTCTCACATGAATGCCAATTTGGAGCCAGTGCATCTCTGCTAGAGACAATGTGGGGGAAAATGCAATCCAGTGTCTGTTTTAGTAACTCTTGTCAGAGTTCAGGCAACCACAGTCAACACTGACAGAAATCTGGCTACTATGAAATATTTCTAGACTCAAAGGAAACAAACTAGTCTGGCTGACTGAAAAAATGGATGAGATTTGAAACCAAAACCAAACTATTAGAGTTGAAATTCAAAGTGCGAGTGGACAGACACCACCAGTCTGTGACTCTGCAGCCAATCCAAAAATTAGCAGTAATAAAACCTAGAAGAGTAATGAGCAACAAAGCTAAACCTCCTGAATATCAGGTACTCACAATAGTAAGAAGGCCTGAAGTGAGGCTTGAAACCAGATCTTTGCCAGCCCTGGCACAGACAATAGTGTTGTGGGCTCCAGACACAGCTGGCCCGTGGTCTGCTGTCACCATCAGGCACATCTCAATGAACTGGCAGGCATACCTGGGTAACCTGGGCACAGACACCACAGCAGTCAGGGACAGAACACAAATGCAAATGTTTGTAAAGTCCCCAGCCTCATCAGAGCTGAGGTGACACAAGTAGTCACAGAGTGTGAATCAGGGCTAGAATACAGAAGTTTCCTCAATGCACCACAAGACTCATGGAAAACTTCATCCTGAGATTAAAACACACTGTATGCAACTCAAAATGCTGATATAGTGTCATGGAGGAAACACAGAGATGGCATTCCAGTCAATCTGCCCTCACAAAGGAATCCTGGAGTTACTTGTTTTTTTTGCTTAAAAGTCTATTAAGAAACAAGAAAAACCCCAAAGAATCTGCAAGCTTTCACAAGAACTGCCTCACCTCCTCTGAAACCAGAGCAGGCCTAGAACCCCTCCAATTCCCATCTCCTCTTTGAAGACCTCAGTGATGGGCATCCCAGCATAGATCAGCTCCTGTCCTCGCTCGTCACAGATGCTGGTCATGAAGGAAGCCGGTTTGCGAATCAGCCCCAGCTCCTGGAATTGCAGAGTAAAAACAGGATGTTAAACACCCCACACCAGCAGAGAGGGGCAGCACAAGGCAGAGCAGGCAAACAGCCATGCTTCAGGTTTGCCCTCAGAGCAGCTTCCACAGCCCAGAACCAGCACAAGTAACGCTACAAAGCACAAGGTGCAGCCCCAACGTGGCATCCAGAACCACAGCCAATGCCCTGTCTGACTGCAAGAAACCCAAAAGCAGCTGAACCAGCACAGCTCACCCTTGCCCAGGAGTAATCCATTGGCACAGTTGGAGGAGGCACTTCCTCAGCTGGTTCAATCACTCTTTTGGCCACAAGATCCTGGTACACAGACCTAGGGAGAGAATCCATTCAGTAACTTTGGTCCTTCTAAGAGATCCAAGAGAGGTGATCTAACCTAGACTTTAAAACCCCACAATAAACAGAATC